ACTTGTCTTTGGGGTTGGATGTTGTTTTCCTGACAAATGTGAAATTCTGTCCTTTGATGGGGATGTCCTTCTGTATGCTGTGATTATATGTTTCTCTTATTGGTTGATGTTGATGAATAAAGCTGTTTTGGCCAATAGCCAAGCAGGAAGTATAGGCGGGGCTACCAGACTAGGAGAATGCTGGGAAGAAGAAGGGGGAGAATGAGTCCCCAGCAAGATGCCATGTAGCTACCAGGATGGTAGGATGCCTGGACGTTGTCTGGTAATCCAAGACCAGGAGGAGACACATGTATTAGTAGAAATGAGTTAATAATTAACAGACAGATAGACAACAAGAACTCTGAGCCATTGACTAAACAGTTTATAATTAATATAAGCCTCTGTGTGTTTATTTGGGACTAAAGGGCTGTGGGACTGGGTGGGACAGAAACTTGGTTCAACAGTTCTTGCTTGACAGCAGTGAGAATGATTATTCCTGTCTCCCCTCCAGTTTCTTAGTCACTGCCCTGGCCTTGGTCTTTGGTGCTGGTCTTCTCCAGGCTTCTGTCCCATATTTTTCACTCTGACTTGTTACACATTCCACTCTTCTGAAGAGATTTCATTCCCTCATATCCTAAAGTTGCTTGACCATGTAGCTAACTGTCCCATCATAGAATTTTTCTTCCTCCTAGTCATATGGTCCATTTTATACTTTATGGTCCACAAGTGAACCTGGTTACATGAATGCAAAGTCACCCAATTTTCTTTCTTTCCAACTTGTTCCTTCTCTTCACACGTGGTTTATGATATTGCTTTAGTCTCAACTAACTAATTTGCCTGTTAAGGGGAACTCAGCTCTGTGTGTTTCCAATGCTGGATGCTCTGACTTTCCATAGAGACCACATCAACACAAACATGGGAATGAGTCTCTGCTTGGTGTTATTAGTAATATATTTCATTTGGTGTATCATGTTAACATAATAATTGTTTGCTTTTATTTATTAATATTTATGTGTGACTATCTATCTGTGAATTCATTTTGCTATTCATGTTCTACCTTCAGGACCACACTGGCTCATCTCAGCTGCCAATTCCACCTCCTGGTCCTCTGCCTTTATCTACTTTTCCCTATACTCATGATCTTTAAAGGCTGACCATTGAGCACATCACTGTGTCTTCCCATGGAGTCCAGAAAATGGAAACTCCATGCAGAATGTGGTGAACAGGAAAGGACACCTGTGACCTCTCCCATTACATTTCAACTTCCTGATGCTAGATGTGGTGACTCCAGCCTGCCTGTTACACTTTGCAGTTGTTCCATGACTACATGCTCATGACTACTGACCTAATCCAACTCTGAGCACATCCTTGGTGTACTAACATTCCTCCAAGTCCAATGTTAAGATTAACACTTTCCAAATTTGCTATTTCAAATACTGGAGACCAAGAGCAGTCAGTGTTGATTTTTCTTAACCCTAGCAGTACCCTGGTGAAGAATCTTTTTACATTCAAGCTTTCCCTTGAGAATTCTTGCTATCTGATTAGATTATGCATGGCAGTAAGCACCATATAGTACCTACCATAAACAAACATTAAATGATTGATTGCATAAGTGCTTAGTTCATTCAGCTACCCACCCCTGGAAATCTTTTTCCTAAGCAACCTCTTCACATTGGTAAGATTAGTGAATATCCAAAAGCTGAATTCTCTCTATACAAATTAATATAAATGACAAAAACATTTCATTAGAGTGAGACAGTATAATTTTTACATTGGGCAGTGAATTTATTCCTTTTATAAAACCACCTAAATTTTACAAAATTTTCTTACTGTTTGTGAGACAGTAAACACAGGGAGAGTTTTCTATTTGAATTGATGTGAAGGCCGTTGCAAAGATGGTGGAAGAGTAATGGTGGTATGGCTATCGCTGCTGTGGGTGTTCAGCAACGACAAATAAGAGATGATGATTTTTAGCATTGAACTTACACACTTGAAGCTTATCCTTCAAGCTGTGTGTATCTCAAATCAATTACATTAAAATGTATACACATGGATAGGTATTTTGCAAGAACTGTAAATTATCTCACAGTGGGGTATCAGATCAGCTTAAAAAGACAAGTAAATAATTGCTTACAGAGAGCAACAGGAATGTGAAAAGAAAATATGTTTGAGGAGAATGAAGTGAAAGAGTTCCTAAAAAAGAAAGAAAGAAAGAAATCACTTAAACTTAAGATATGTATCAAGGAAACACTATTGTGTAACTGGAAAAATTGAAAGTTTATAGTAAATAATGTCTAATGGGTTTAGATTTTAAATGCTTTTACTCTGAGAGACTAGAAATCTCTAGTATAACAATAAATCTTTCCACCAAAGCAACCTGAGCCCTGCGCTGTCTGTCAGCTGCCCAACTTCTGCCTCCCAAGTTAGGGCCCCAAATAATACACAGAGATTTATATTAGTTTCAAATGCTGCTTGGCCAATGACTAGGATTTCTCATCTGCTAGCTCAGTCTTAATTATCAACCATAATTGTAAGACTTACCTTATGGTGGACACTGGTGGAAGGCATCCTGTCTTCCTGGGCTCACATGGTGGCTCCACAGAGAGGATGAGGAACAGCAAGAGAAAAGGGATGATTTCCTGCTTGTCTCTGATTATATATGAGTCTGCCTGCTATGTCACTTCCTGCCTGTATCAAAAGACTTCTTTTTACTACATTTCCCAGAATCCTCCTCGACTCCTAGTCCTGCCTAACTTGCTGCCTCATTGGCCAAACAGTGCTTTGTTCATCAATCAATAAGATAAACATACATAGAAGGACTTGCCCCATCACTCTAGATTCTGAACATAGACTTATATTCTGAAAATGAGAAATGAAGTTTTGCACCCTCATGTCCTCCTCTGCCCTCCTCTTCTCTTTCTCCTAGCTCCCTCTCCCCCCATGGTCCCAATTAGCTCAGGAGGTCTTTTCCTTTTTCCCTTCTCCTGGGGACCATGTATGTCAATATACTAATTTAGCAAGTAGTTTGATGTGGTCTCTTTACTTTTAATAGTTGAGGATCTTTGTTGAGAGCTAAAGGTTACTCCTGGAATAAAATATACAAGCAGATGCCTTATTTCTACTCTGTCAACTGAATTGCCATAGCACCATGTTTGTATCAAAAATGGAGGAGAAGGTGTTTTTCCATAATATGTTTAAATGTCTTTCCTGAATGATACTGTTTCCCAAACCCAGTATAGATATTTTATGTTATAATCCCTACTGAAAAAAAAAGGTGTCCCCAACCAGACATAATGGCTCATATCTTCAATCCCAGCACTCTAGGCAGAGGCATTTGGATTTGAGAGTTTGGGGCCAGCCTGGTCTACAGAATGAGTTCCATGACAGTCATGGCTACACAGGGCAATTCT